CAGGAATGGGAACTCCTGGGAAGGGGAGGCCATGCAAGACTACAGGACAGATTTGGTAAATCTCTCTCTGGAAAGCATTTGGCAGAGGTGATGCTGTCTTTGCCCATGGGCAGCACCTTATGGGCACTACTACCTTGGTTTTCAGTGGCCCTGTGTTGCTGATATGATAAAAACCAGTTGGATGCTCCTTTTCTCTGCTTTCTCCTTGAGCTGTAACAACTCATTCTTCCCAACTTTTCCTTTCCTGCTAAACTTTATGGTCTGAAGTTGCGTCAGGGTAGGTTTAGGTTAGACATTCGGAAAAATTTCTTCCCCAAAAGGTCTGTCAGGCACTGGAAGGGGCTGCCCAAGGAGGTGGGTGAGTCCCCATCCCTGGAGGGATTTAAAAGCTGGGCAGATGAGGTGCTTAGGGACAGGGTTTAGTGGTGGGATGGCAGGGTTAGGGGAATGGTTGGGCTTGATGATCTTAAAGGGCTTTTCCAACCTAAATTGGAAATAGATTCTATGACTCTATGATTCTATGAAACTACATTTATTTAATTTCTTGCGTGCATGAAGGGAAGGCGGGATTCCTGTGTCATCCTGCAGCTTCTGGGGCTGGGGTCTTTCAGGGAAATGCCAAGTACAGGCGGTGCATGTTGGGGTGTGGGTGGAGGACTGGTGTCCGTGGGAGAGCAGGTGGTCCACGGGCATTTCCACCCCACTCGAGCTTTGCTGGGGATGTCACACCAGTGTCACCAGTATTGTGTGTGACTGGTGTAGCGTTTTCTCGAGTGTCGAGCCCCATCTGGTGGCTTTCCTGCGTCATATTTTTTTTTGTGTCCTTGCGTCTTTCGGGATTTTTCGTCTTCGGTGCTTGTGAACTGCGAACGGGAAGGAAGGACGGGGGGCTGGAGAAAGGGCAGGGCTTGCAGAGCTACCTTTGCTTCTCCCACAGCTCCCTGTCCCTCGGTATAATTTGGAGATCGAGGCTTATGTCCTTTCCTCCTGTTCTTCCTTGCTGTGCAATCTCGCCCCGAGTGGCAAGGAATGATCTAATCGTTTTGGCGAAACCCCAGTTTGTGCTTGTGAGCCCCTCCCAGAGCCCTCAGAAGGCAATTCATCCCGCCGTCATGCTGGCATCTGAGGTGGGACAGATGAACGGTCCCAGGAGGGGTCATTTCTATTCATTGACTAGCTTAGATGACCAACTGTAGGGTTGGCATTAGGTGAAATGATTCTCATCCCAAATTTCAGAGCATGAAGTCACAGCCACTGCTCAGGATGAGAAGGAAAAAGACCCAATATTAGATTGTTAATATCAGTAAGCATTAGAAAGGACCCTGTTAGGAGATGTTAGGAGTCCTGTGGCATCTCGGCACCTTGTGCTACCCTGACTGGATCACCTCTGTTTACAGAAGTTGGCCAAAGGTCCCCTGAAGGGGAGTTCTGTCCCCAGGGTGAGGTTTTCAGGTCTCCTTGCACACCTGGTATGGGAACAGAGGTGATAGAGTAGTACCTGCCCATGCACGAGACACCTCCTTCTGGTCCAACATTGCCCAAAGTCTCAATAGCTGACCAGTGGCAAGCTGTGGCCTTTTGCATTTGTGGGTCACACGTGCTGAAGGTGGAGGTGGTGTCTCACATTGCTCCACCTGTGTTGAAAGAGGGTCAAACCTCTGGGGTCCATGAGGGAAGCTCCTTACTACAGTGCTGAAGGGGCTTAGACGATCTGTCAAGCCACTGCCAAATGTCATGACCAGCGTTTTGTCAAGTAGCTTCTCCTCATGAAAACAAAGCGAGGGAGTGGTTTTCTTGTGCAAATGTTTCATGAGCATTCCCTACCCCCCACACTTCACTTTTGGGTGGTGCAAGTCAAAGGTTTCCCACTCTTGCAATACGAAAGTGGTCCTCAGATCCCGCAAGAGGTAGTTTTAGAACTGTGCAGACACCTGTGTCTACCCCAGATTCTCCTTCCCCCAGACAACCTCCCTCTCTCCAAACAACTGGCCCACAGCCCCATCCTCCTCAGGTTTTGATGCATGCCAAAGTCTCACACTCAGCTTTTCCTCCTCTTTCCTGCAGGTATATCCGAACTATGTACCTAGGGATCCAGAGCCAGAGGCGGAAGGAACACCAGCGGCGTTTCTACTGGGCTATGATGTACGAATATGCAGACGTAAATATGTTGCGCCTCCTGGAAACTTTCCTCGAGAGCGCCCCTCAACTGGTGCTACAGCTCTGCATAATGATCCAAAAGAACCGTGCAGAAACATTACCATGTAAGTGGCCACCTCGTCCCCCCCTCCCCATCCTCCCAGCCTCCCCCCTCCGATCCCATGCTCAGCTGCCGATGGATGCTTTGCTAACCGTCCGCCCTACGCAACCTGGCGTGTAAGGGGCTGCCACTTGGGACAAATCTCATTCCAGCTCCGCGCTGCCTTCGCTGGGTAAAATTTCTGCTTGTTCCGCTGAGAAAAAAAAAACCAAAAACAAACCTCTATCAGTCAAAAGACAGGATTCAGCTCTTCCACAGTCTAAAGAAATGATGGTGTTGTCAGGAGGAGGCAGTCAGTCTCTGCTGCTGTGGCAAGTGTCACCATTCATTTGCTGCCTGGCACTGGGCAAACACAGTCATTCCCTGCCTCAGTTTTCCTCCTTGCATAAGCAGGATGATAAAACTGGCCAGATGATTTGAATTTGTGTTGCGAGGACAAACGGTTCAATGCCTGTGCAATGCTCTGATGGTGTGAAGTGTAGTATAAGGGGGGGTTTTAATAGCTAAATGCTGTAGGACTCGTTCTGCAAAGTACCCAGGTTTAGTCATTGGTACCATGGTTCTCAGCAAGGGGAAGAAAAGAGAGGGGGGAAGGAAGTGGGGGGGGGGATTGTGTAGGGACAGAGATGTTATAGTGCAGGCATCGTCGCAAAGGCGGATAGATGAGCAGAGAGGCTTGGAAGCAACCACAGAGAAAAGTTTGCCAATTCTGATGTCCTTTTCTGCAGTGATGTCCTGGGGCATTGGGCATCCACCTCAGTCAAGAGGCATATGGCCCTGTCCCAGCCCTGGGGTGAGCAGCTCTACCAGTCCTTGCCCACGGCCATGCTGGCTGCCTAAGAGTCACCAGCTCATGGGAGAATTGTCCTTTCCAAGGACCAACAGTGGTATCAGCTGGTGAGCTGCTGGGTTATTCAGCCCCTGTTCAAGCCACACACCGGGGATGACACTCAGACTGTGCTTCCCAAGGACAGCCTGTTTGTGGCATGCCATTTCTGGCAGACCTGAGGAGTTTCTTGGAGCTGGGATTGGAACTTGGCAGTTCTTCAGGGTTAATTTTGCTGGTTGGACCAGGGTCACCATTATCTAGAGCATCAGTAAGTCAGACTGCTCTCCCCTCCCTCCATACTTCAGGCATGTCCATCACAGTTGTTTATAGAGGCCTCCCTTCTCCTATCTACGCAGGCTTTATCTGAAACCTCTCATCACGAGCTCTCAAGGCCTTCAGAGTGCTGACACGATGAACATGCCTTTCTACAACTCCTCCTAGAACTGCTCACATTTGCCAGCACCCTCTTCCTGCTGCTTCCAACATTATTAACCCTACTAAAAACGTGTAAATCACAACCTAAAATGCTTGCCAGGGTGTTATGCAGATTGTTGGGCTTGTTACAGAAAGTACTGGGTGAAGTTTGCTGGCCTCTGTTGTGCTGGAAGTCAGACAACACGGCTCAATAATCCCTCCAGGCTTTCAAATCTGCGGCTCTTTCAGTTTGCCACTTCCAGGCATGGCTGCCTAATCCACCGAACAAGCTGCATCATTTTCCAACTCCCCCTTCTTCAGCTATGCAGTTCCTCCGTTCCTCCACCACACCACCCGGCAAGCTGCGTTCTCTTCCAAGGCAGCGCCCCGCCTGTGCAAGAGATGCGTTCGCACATCTCGGGGCTGCGTGCTGAGCGGCCGGCACTGCTGATGGATACTGGCAGCAGGGCTTGCTCAGCGCTCCTGACTCAGGTGCAAGGCTTCCTAGAGCTCCTCCATGCCCATTCGGTGCGTCTGTCTTCCTCCTCCTCCCGGCCACTACGTAATTGTGTAAAAGGAAATTAAATGCTGAGAGGGGCTGTTATGAAAGGGAGCATCAAAGACTTCCCTTAAAGCAGGCAGAAACCAGAGGAAGAGAAATACGGGGAGGAAGGCAGTGTGTTTAAAAATCAAATCAAGTCTCTCCTGGCTCATCGTGCCTGTGTGAGCGTGGCTCGTCGCACCGTACAGAAAAAGGCCAGTTCTGCCTCTGAACAGGGACGGTATCAGCTGTGCTGCATGCTGCCGAAACAGCCCTCAGCGGGGCTTATAAACCCAAGGACAGCCCGTGCTAATATGTCCAGGCTTCAACCACTTCCATACAGTTCACACAGTCTCTTATGGGTTCATGTAGTGCTACGACAAGGTCAATTTACCATTTCATATGGCATACATCCCTCCTCCAAGCCTCGGTCCTCCCTGCTCTTAAGACTGCAATGCCAAGCCCAGCGCAGGAAGCCAAGCCAGGCTCCAGTCTTCTCCAAATGGGTCAGCTAATGCTTCCTTCTCCTATTTAAGGAGCTGTAAAAAGAGAGTTACTGGCATGGCTATCAGGAAATTTTCCTTTTTTCTCCTAGTTCCCATCTTAGGGAAGCTGCTGAGGTGAGAAGAGTGAATATGCTGGAGGTCTTTACTCAAACCAAGAGCATCTCCTCCAGAGATGTTTAGGACCATGGTGACAGAAAGGGCTAATCTTGCCTGTTGTGGTTGAAGTGAGCACTGTGAGGACTAGCAGAAAGGGATGCAATCAGGGTAAACACTTAATTTCCTGGTTGTCATATCTATTGGGTGGGTAGAACAAAGAAAAGCCTCACCATGCCTTGCAAGAACCATCTTACCCTGAGAGGTACCTGATTGAAAGGGTTGGGTGGAACCTGTGTTTATTGCTCCTTCAGTGCTCAAAGAAGGGACCAGTTTCACCAGTGGGCCCCTGATCACCCATGAGTGAGCATCTCCTGCATGGTCTGACACCACCAGCAGCATAACTGCTGGATCTGGAATTTGAAGTCAAGTCCCAGATTCAGTAAAGCTTGGGACAACCCCCCCTGAGATTTCTTGAAGGTCAGGATTTGTTCCTTCATCATCCCTAGCAGAAGGCAGACCAGAGCCCAGCTTAGCTGCCATCGTCTGATGACTCGGGAAGAGAAAATAGCACAGAGAGAGAAGAAGTAAGAACTCCGTGTACTCCATCGGGTGAGCAGCCCTGACCTGGAAGGTGCACGCTGAGAGCCTGACCTGGAGTTACTTTGTGTTGGGACAAGTGGGACAAGTGGGTCAACACCAGCTCCTGAATATACATGTGGAAGAAGCTGGTGTTGGTGTGCAGGCCCTTTGCAAGTGATCCATCTGCTATAGCTATAGCTACGTGGGTCCAAAACAGAGTCAAGGGAAGGTGAGGGAGGAAGGATGCCTCCAAAACATGGATCAGCCTGTGTCCAAAGCAGCTGGAGGGGGTGGGATTCTCACCCTCCAGCAGTGCCTTTCTCTAGGGAATCTAGGCAGGACCTTGGTGATGCATTTAGACTTACCCTTAGGGTTAGGCAAAAGGGGGTGGTGGAACTCTGAAGAGGACACAGCCCTGTCCTTCGCTCACCTTAACTGTCTTCGAGATTTAGGAGAGGATGGGATGAAATGGTGGCCACCTCTCTCAGGTTCCTGGACAGCACTGGCCAGAGGACTGCCCTGATTTAAGTAACCTGGTGTGTTTGCAGGGGGAAATGTAACATTAACAACAACACTAAAAGCCCAGCAACCCAGATCTTCATTTTGTAATCAATCCTAGCAGATAATCCACCTCACTTCTTGCAGAATAAACCACCATTAGCCCACTTCACCCTATGGAGGTGCCTGTTCCTCTGCACTGAATGGGAAGAGGAGCACTTATAACCAGCTTACAGGGAACACCCAACTTCTAGGCAGTTAGTGAGGTGAGATGGATTCATTTTTCAGCATAAATGTCCTCTTTAAGAGGTTTCCTTTTACTTAATTTTTTCATGTGGCTACTTTAAGACTTAATGGGATTTAGCCGAACCTCTAATGCCCTTCCACTCATGTCACGAGTGCTTTACGCAATGCTTGTGCTGGGAATTTGGATGCAGATTTCAGCGCAGGATTTCCCCCCGCAGAAAAGGACTGTCTACCCAGCAAGGCTCTGCCCGTCTCCTCTCTAACCCTGCTGTTGATCTGAAAGAGATTTGCAGCGTAAGCCTTCATTATGCAAAGTCCTGTTGAAGTCTCTGGGATTCTGCAAGGTGCCTGCACTCTCTGCAGCCTGCAATAAGAAGTCTGAAGCTTCTCGTATAGTTAGGAAAAAGCAACATTAGCATCAGCCTGTCTGGGGGGGGACACTTTTGTAAGCGGAGTGATACAATTGAAGCACTAAAAGGGATTTTGGACATCTCAGCTAGAGATGTGTGTTGGCTGACAGATTATCCTGACGGAGTTTGCAAAAAATGTAGCCACATTTTGTTGTCCCTCCCTAAGCAAACTCCTATCTGTTCCATCATGTCCTTGCTCTTTCTGTACCATGTCTAGGGGCCATTTATGGTCAGGGCTTGTCCTTTTTTGCAAGGGCACTCTTAAGATGCTTTCCCCTGGGTCGTGGTTTAACCCGGCTGGCAACTCAGCACCACGCAGCTGCTCGCTCACTCCCCCCCTCCCTCAGTGGGATGGGGGAGAGAATCGGGAAGAAAATAAAAGGTTAGAGCCGAGGGCTGAGATAAAGACAGTTTAATAAGAGAAAATAATAATAATAGTGATAATGAGAATGATAACTTATATGGTATGGAATAGCTCTTTGGTCAGTTTGGGTTAGCTGTGCTAGCTGTGCTCCCTCCCAGCTTGTTATGCACCTGGCCGAGCAGGAGAAGCTCAAAAAGTCCTTGAGTAGTCTGAGCACTACTTGGCAACAGCTGAAAACATCAGTGTGTTATCAACATTCTTCTGGTACTAAATCCAAAACACAGCACTATGCTAGCTACTGTGAAGAAAATTAACTCTATCCCAGCCGAAACCAGGACACCCTGTCACTTAGTTTAGAAGACTTAACTGGTCTTTGTGGGGTATTGGAGGATGAGCAGCAGGGGTGGGTTAGCTGTTGTCCTCACCGCCCAGAGAAGGCATTCCCCGTCAAGCTGAGTGGGTTTGGGATGAGCCAACATCACGTTAAACACCCCTGCACCTGAGTGAGAGGTTTCCTGCGT